CCTTCTCCGCCAAGGAGAGTTAGAGGGTGAAACTCCAGTTCGGGGGGGGGGGCCACTCCATGCTATCTTATCCGTAGTACTAGAGAGCAGTTCTTTGGGCTATCGAACACCATGGATAAGATATCAAGTAAACGATTAATTTCGAGCGTACTTTCGATAAGGACCGGTAAATGTTGTCCATCACACATTCTGCCCACCTCCTATACAATTTTCTGCACCAGGTCATCCACCCTGGAGCTCCTCCACCCTTGGCCCTAGAAAGAGGTATCCATTCTCCGGTCCAGGACCGTTCCCTTGGACCATGGCAGGCGGAAAGGTTAAAGCATCTCACGGCTTTTTTCCCATTACACCGTTACTTATCAAAAGTATACTCTGAATGAGTTGGTTACGTATCATGAGCGCTGTCATCCTTATCTCGAGTATTGGAGAAACAATGGAGTGGCCCCCCCGAACTGGAGTTTCACCGCTCAATTGTTTTGTTAGTTTTTGAGCGACCTTATCCACCTTTTTTCCGTCTCCAGAAGTTCTTGAAAGCGATTCATAAGTTTGGTAGAAAGCCCCGCCCAGTTAGGTACACACACACGCCTACCACTGATACTTAACCTCCTCTATCCAATTTTTTCCCCTGTCTCTGCAACCGCGGAACCGAATTATGAGGGGTTGTAGTGAACGCAGTCCACTCAGGGACAGGCTCTGCCCATTGGTGGGCCTCCGCTCGCGTCATATATGCTGGGAACACCTTACAAATTGCCTTCCTACATTTAACTTTTTTGCTGCTGTGTTTTCTGGTTTTCTCCTAATTGTGTTATGGATTGTATTATATTAAACACCGCCGTTTTATTGAACGTTCCGCCCACCGAGGTTGGTCTCAATAATTCGATCTGGCTTATCGACGCACATCTTGTCCACTTTTCCTGGTATCAAGGCATCGCCTTCTGTACTGCTTATTTCAATGCACGCCACGTCCACTATGACCAAACTCCGCTTAGCTGATGTGTGTTTTGTACTTCGTGAGACCTTGCCCACCCATCCCACACTTGACCCGCCTCCTCCAGGTGGATCTCCAGGAAGCTAGGGAATTTCGTGACAGACATACAGCCCGACAGACGAATCGCTCGATAGGGAGCAGGATATTTTGGAAGTTGTGAACTGATAGGTGGCCGCACATCAACAGTAAGGTATTCTGTCCTTCTATGGTGAACCAGTTGGTTTTGAATGCGTTGAAAAACACTCAGTTGGAACATCCTTTCCCACACATGTGTCACTGTTTCGATTAAATCGTCTTCGAAAAGGAAAGGAAGAGTTGACTGAAAAGAGTTCATTGGAGCTTCACTCTTTTAACATTTCTCATTTTGAGAAGTTTAAACAGATTTAAGGCAAAAGTTAAATCCGATGGCTATTCAAAGTAAGTAATGATAGCGCTAACAAGGTGCGGTGGTGAATGTTGTCGAAAAATGCTCATTTTCAGGAACGGCCCGCAGTCGCTAAATGTTGGATTCGTTGCGGACGACAAAATGCGGTTTCGATGGATTTCTGCAAAATTTGCTGGAAATATCGACGACAATACGGTATGGCAATTTTTAAACAAAAGAGGAGCAAAAAGTCACCTCTTCATGGTGCACAGAACGAGCTCAACGACGTCGGTGATGGACACTATACCGCTTACAGCGTCGTCTGGAACGCTGATCAAAAGCTGCATAGTCACAGCTAGTGTCTCTGAGAAGCTATTCACCAGTTAATCCGATTGAAGAAATTATGTAGCAGCTTCAGGTTGGAGCGATTACGGTAGGCCTCCTTGAGCTCGACGGTGATGGCAGATGACGTCATATTCTGAAGACGGTAGGGGCATGAAGGAGGGCCTGCTTCTGCTTATGGGGGACATCTAAGGAATATTTTGCTGTGAAACTTTCATCAACAGCGGCACCCTGTGTGACGAAAAGTTTGATGTGCGCTCACACCATAGCCATGTTTTGAAATGAAAACACAAAAAACACATGTTTGACGCAGCCACTGGTCACCGCCTGTGATCTTATGCCACACCAATCGTCGCCGCCTTCCAAGGAAAGATAGAAGGTGCAGCTGTTTGTCCAGTTGAATCGCATGCCATTCATTGACCGCATCGCCGAGA